GCTTTTAGCATAGAGCTCTACGTGTGTACATGGCCATGTATGCAGTATTTGCTGCATACATGTCATGTACACACTATTTGCTGCATGATCATGTACGCAGTATTTGCTGCATACATGTGGGTATTCAGTAAATAACGCATACATGTACACACTTGGGTTTCCAGAGTGGGAATGTATGCTTCAAGCTTCCAAAAAAGGACACTGTAAAAAAATTATCGTAATTTTACGTAATTTTCTCGGTTAATTTCTCATACGAAAACTTCGTTTTTGTACCAAATTACAATACATCGTTATTTTACGAATTGCTTTGTAAAATCCAAATCTCCATCTAAGGGGTATGAAAATTGTTCTTTTTTTGTCTAACTTTATGAAGTTTGACCCCAAAATTTGCATTTGTTACGAAATATATTTGTAACTTTACTATGCCGTTTCGTTAATTGAGAGTTACGAAATATTTTCGTAAACAATTTTTTACGAAGCATTCCGTAACATTTTTTTCGTAAAAACACGAAAACTGTTTACAGTGTAATAATGACTACACTGGAAACGCAAGTCTGTGAATGTCGCTCACTTGCAGGTGTGTGAATATCCATTCGTACACTTACGGGGGTACGGGTTTACGAATGGATAATCACACACCTGCAAGTGATTGACATTCACACACTTGCGTTTTCAGAGTACTCTTTTTGGCCTCGACGCATCCTACGCTGCGATCGCCAGCGATCGAACTTTGTTGAAGCGACACGCCCGGAGATCGGACAGTATTAAACGGCACGCCGGGAAATCGAACTTTGTTCGTAGGATGCGTCGGCCTGCTGTTCCACAATTCACACCGCTCGGGCAGAATCGACCCCAGAATACAGTGAGGCTTCGCAAATTTTTCATGACTTCGTGCTTCTTGCTATTTCGTAGTATCGCGCCAAAGAACACAACAACATAAACAACCAACCCTCCCGACCTCGAGAGGACATGTGCCCGTGTAGGATTTCTTCTTTCGAGTCTCACCGTCATTTCTCAGTTTCTTTTCCCCTAGTAGTGTTTACCTGCCTTTCCCTAAGACAATAGCCCGAGGGTACTCAACTTTTTGCCTTTTCCGTCTCTCACGCTCATATCCCAGTCCTACTCGCTCAGTGAGACGCTATGCAGGCAGCACTGAGAGAAATGTTTCGTTATTGCAGCCATCAACATTTGTTCGATCTGTCGGATTAGTCAAAGTCATCAAAGTTTTAGTCACAGCAACTTAAACTTTGGTTACAGTAGCCAAAATTTCGATTACATCAACTAAGATTTTGATACCTATGACCAAACCGAACGGTTGGACGAAATTTAATCGTGGGTATCAACATTTTGATTGCTGCAACGAAACATTTCTCTCAGTGTCCAGAAAAAAGATTACGCTCGTTTTTGAAATGATTCACATCCCAGGTCGTATAACGATTATAATTTCACTGCTTAAAATTAGTGTACAGCAAGAATTTTGTATGTGTGTTGTGATTGTTTCCATACATGTATTCCGTATTACTTCAAAACAGCAATTTTTTTGTATCGTGATGATTTTCTGCGCACGACAGCAATTGCGTCGTTACTGTACAATGTTAATCGTTAAGGAACGACTATGGCATGACTTTCGTTTCCGGAACAAAATTAACTGCCAAAGATTCGTAAATTTACAACATTATTAACAGTGTTCCTCCATTTTCCTCCTGTGAAATGGATACGTGCAATATACGCTGCTTCGGTGAAGGTGGATGGCCAGGGATAGTGTGTCTTCCATTCCTATTTGAACGTGTTCTAGTAGTCAAATTTCACTATCTCTTTTTATTTCAGAATGATCTACAAACATCATTAACAAAATATTTAAAACTACCCCTGATGAAACATTAGCGACACATACTACTGAAATGTATTAGTTGAACTGGATAGTAGTCAGGAATTTACGTACTCGAGTTGAGAAGCGGTTGGAGGCCTTTTGCCCCGAAGGCGCTGTATGCAGGCGACTGAGGGCCGTACGACGTTCGCCTGTGTGTTCCCTGCTCTTACGAGCAGAGACGTCCATCACCTGTCTCATACCCTGTCAATAAGTTATTGCACGTTAGGGACCAAAAAGGGGCTGAGAAGGGATGGAAAAGTGTATGCGTATTTGTTTCAAAGTACTTTAGGCAAGGTAGTATGCATGCTTTACTTTAAAACGGCTTTTAAACTAAGTTAATAAAAGAGAGATACTCTTTAAGGGATAAAAAACGTTTCCGTGTCACCCGGAAAAATTGTATTTGGGGGCATCCTTGAGTGTGGCGTGTGCAACGTTCCTCTCCCGCTCACGCGAGTGTTACGGCAGGCGCGTCAAAACACACATTTTTTTGAGACTCTATATACAATATATATACACACACGTGTGTATATGTGTGCGAGGGACAAATTGGCGACACAGTCAGCATACATGGGCTTCCTTTACTAATTCTTTTGGAACAATCGTAGCTCCACAGGAAAAGTAAAAGGTCGCTTATAAGTGTTAATAAAGAAAACTGTGCAAGAGTAAACTAGCTTAAATACGACGCACTGCTGTAGGTATTTTTGCGCTTATTACTGGTTTTGTACGATGTGAACAGATGGTTGACGCGGAAGAACTAAGGCACTCTCATGTCTGTTGGGGATGGACCGAGTGAACACTCTCCCCCCTCCCCAAACTCCCTGAAATTCCATGTGAGCAGCCAGTTGTGTTCGCGTTCCCTCCGCTCGCTAGATGGAGCGCGCAACGCGCCCTGCCGTCCTGCCTACACTATGGCCCCGAACACCTGATTTTCCCAATAAATCCTTCTATTTTTTCCAATCAAAATAATCTCAAGGTGCCTGGGCGGGCGGGTACGCGGGTTACCTGGGTACGCAGTGGAGTGGCACGCGCCGCGCAAACTAGCATGCAGTGACGCACCAGACAGGTCTTTGACAAATCCTGGTCAGCTTCAGGGTGCCTGCCGCCGATCGACGTTTTCTAGAAAATTAACACTTCCACTGTTCGAATGTTATCAAGAAACAAAATACAAAATGGTTTGTCGTAAACTACGCAAAAGAGAATATTCTTGCTAAACAGATGATCAAAAGTTAAGTAACCTAACCATATATGGTTCACCGGAGAACTTATACATTTCTTGCTGCAGTGTTAAGTTGGGCTGTTGCCCCGCGGGTCCTGGAGTGCATCTATTGCGGTTCATTCGATTCACTGAGGTTCTCTTCATCCGTCACGCAAACTAAAGGGGCTTAGCGGTCGGTCAGTGAACCAGATCGGCCGAAACGAAATCTCTGTTCTACTTGCAGGTACTGCCCACGGCTTCCTAACTGATCATTTAACTGCCTTTAACGTTATATTCAGAGAGTTCTAGCTTGTAACTACATGTTACTGCGGTCTACTCGAAAAAACACAGCTTTCTAGCTCTCGTTTCGTTTATTGGAACGCACTAAAACTCGTATGTATTATGTTGTGATCGGTTGTGGGGGTACAGGACTCGCATACACACCAGATCAATTCGAATGTTATTTTTTCTTTTTTTTTTTGAATGAGCTTTAACAATCAAATGATTTGTACAATTTTCTGTGATTTTGAACACGTTATTTGTGCATTTTTGTAGGAAAACGTGCAATTTTGCGCACAAAAATTTACTAAACTAAACGTTGCTTTAACTAGCACTAATATCGTTTGCACAAGAACATACAAATAGACTAAGCGTGCAGGGTATTCACAACTGCATGCATAAATAAATACAATTGCATGCATAATCACTAAGTGTGCAAATATTGTACACCTAAGTGTGAAACTATGATTTTTAACTGAACTGCACACTAGTGTGCAAACATTACATAAGTCATCAAAACGTGAACAACCAGTCTAATATGAATATACACCAATTGACGTTTAGTTCAGTTCGCTATCGCGAAGTTTTTCACACTTGAAACTGCACATCATTCGGTGTGGTGCAACTTCTACATTTGTTTTATCACTGTATGTGCAGTTCGTGCGTAGTTATACAATCCATTTGTAAGTAATTATGCGAATTATAAAAATCGCGCATTATGGATGTATACATTTCTTCATCTTTATATACACAGCAAAATGCACAAGGATTGACTGTGAAGTAAGTTAAAAATAGTGCATTTTCTACCTTAATTTGAAATGGTTGTGAACCAATTGTAATAATTTCATAACTTAATTAATTTTTGATAACGAAGAAAGCGTTGCGATTCCACCAGGAGTTCTGGCAAATTTTTTCACAACGAATTCTTCGTGAAGTTCTGAATTTTTGTTAGCAGTGCACAAGAAAGATCGAGACGAGTGAAAAGCTAATGAAGACGTTACTTGTCACGTCGCGTCGAAAGAGACTGCGCGAGCCTACAAGAATGATAAACTACATTTCTGCCAAAGGATTATTTAAGAATATCACAACAAACGCGTCTTACAAATGTTTCATACTATAAGCATGTCCAAAACTAAAGCACGACGTGCTGAGCTTCCTCTGTTGCTCTATAGAACAAACGTGTGCACACATAACAAGTTATTAAACTTATTGTTTTTAGGGTCGTGCTAGTTCGTGTGCTCCCGCTCAATTCAAATTACCGCGCGGCAGTCCGGCTTCCCCTGTCTGCTTCGGCTCGATTACTCGAAACTCCCCCACAGCTGCCACCGGCTGCCGCACCCTGACGAGCCGAGCCGCCAGCGCGCCCTATGCCGACCGGGTTCACCTCTCGCCCACGAGAGCGCTGCCGGCAGCGCGGTGCCCACTGTGCGGGCTGTGGGCTGCGTGCGCGGCGCGAATCCTCCAGAGCGTAGGAGGAGGCCAAGTGCGACGACGCTGTCCTCTGCACCACGGACGCAGCCCTCGGGCGCCCATCCGGCGACGCCACGCCCCCCTCCAGTGCACTGGAGGCAACCATTGGCTGTCGTGGGACCGGGGGCGGGCTAGAAGGGTGGGGAGGGAGTGTGGGGAAGCGGGCACGCGGGGCGGGGCGGGGAGAGGTGAGGTGGACGCCGTGGCGGCCCGCGCGCGCGCCCCGCGTCAGAACACCGCCAGCCAGCGGTCCTGCTGCGCGCGAGGTCGTACGTGTGCGTGCGTGTGTGGGAGCCGTGTCGTCGTGTCCGTGCGTCCGTGCACGTGCGCGTCCGTGCGGGGCAGTGCAACCATGTGGCCGTGTTAGTGTACGTGCTTGTGTGCGTGTGCGCGTGTGTGTGATTTTGTGACACCTCAAGCGGATACCTGGCCATGGATAGCGGCCGCTAACACGACCGTCGCCCGCCTCCCTCCCACAGTGGCCGCCCCGGAGTACCCCTTGGGGGCCCCCGTGGGGCCGGGGGGCCCGGGTGCTCTTGTCGGCGTCCCCTTGCCGACGTGCTACCCCGCGGACCTCGGCGGCCCCGTGCCGGTCGTCGGCGCCCTGGGCTCCCTGGGCACCGGGGCCGGGGCCGGCGGGGTGGGCAGCGCCCCCGCGGCCACCGGCAGTCACTCGGCGGCCAGCATGAGCCAGCTGGGCACCGTATACGCCACCAAGCGCCGCAGGAGAAACGGCAAGAGGTGAGGAATCGGACCGGGGACGAACCGGAAACCAACAGAACTGAAATCATTGGAAGAGGTTTTGCAATGCACACCTACCCTCCAAGTAGTCTGCGTCTCGGTGTGTGTCCACCAAGTGCAATTGCAACAGTGATGACGAAAATCGACGTAAAAGTGAAGTGTGGTGATAAGTGTGACGTGGGGAATAAGTAGTGCAGTGCAATGTGATCTGGTGTGGTTGGAGGTTGAGGAGCGACCTCTCCACCGTTGAGGTCTCCATACGTGGTGCGCAAGGATAACACAAACCCATGCATTCTAAAGTGATACCCATCGTCGATACTCATCCTCCTCGAATAGTGGCCGTATAGCTGTAGCTAAACACTACATGTGTCCTATGGACAAATAACGTCTTCACCTCTGGTACTGTTACGGACCGGGCACGCAGCGCCATGTGCGAATTAATGCGCCATGTACATGGACTCTAAATTAATCTGTATATAAAAAGGCACCGTGTCGTTGCGGCTATTTGTCGGGGCTGAGCGAAGCTGGAGTGGGCTTAAGAGTTGTGCCGTTTCGGTTTCGCCGCTCGCATCGCCGGCTCTGACCCTAATGCGATGCGATACACTCTTTGCTTCCGGTGATACACCCGCATTATGAATTATGGAAGCTCACCGCGCTCGGCGGGCCGGGAAAGAATCTTAATTGTTTCCAACCGCGGGCTGCGTCTGTACGTTGCCTCTCTCTCTCTCTCTCGTACGTCCTCCTGTAGGCCGAGCGAGAGAGGCGAGCACTCTCGTACCCGCCCCACATGTGTGTTGCGGCGCGCCTCCTGGTGGAGTCGGTCAAGAGTAGTAGAGTCAGCCGTCATTTCTGTATCGCGAAAAAATATATCTTATTGCGAAAGAATTGATAGTACTATTATAATGTTTGTCAAATTCTCTGTAGATGACAGAGTTCACACAACTTTTTCTGACATCGTTAAACTATCTAAGGATCTCCCAATGCGCTCAAATTATTGGTCTTGCAGTTAGGTGATTTCATCCTAACCGGATGAACTCCGTCTATGGTGATGTTTTTACACCGACGGAATATTTGTAGACATTTGCGTTTGTGAAAATACTCACAATATGTATTCGGTCGCCTGAAAACGGTTTGAATCGTCTTCATATCGTGCTGATCTTTGCTGAAATAAACCCGCGTATATCAGAACAGTCCCCGAAAAACCGCATACCCATTTTTTAAAAATAACTTTTGCATAAAATGAAGTTTACAATTTGTGAATATTTCATTATCTGAGAATGGCAATTTACGGGCGCATTTTGCAGGCCTCTGCTGGAGGCTCGAGATCATTCTATTATGAATAAAGAGATCATCTCTCTCCTGGTGCTAATGGGGTAAACATAACAATTACTTGGTGGCCCGCACTTCTGTCATCTTCGTTGCCTCTTGCTATGCATATGTCTGGCTGAAGGGTGCGTTACGCGTTATAAGCTGGTGCAGCGCGGAACTGCAATCTGCATCTGAATGAAAATGCCGTCCAAGTGCTGGGTTCATCTTTTGCTGCTAATATAGAGTTATGCTGCTTCAGCCTTAGCACATTTTTTTCCACCTCAAATTGTAATGACGTTAGGCTGGCTGAGGCTAGTCGGAACCGGCTTGAGAGTGCTGTGCTTGTGGCGGGACGGGACAGAAGCGACGGAACTGAGCTTCAAGAGATGTAATCTAAGACCATTTAATGAGAATATGACTACCTCTTCACGTGTGCATTATGTGGCTGGGTGGAAGGGGCACGTTTGAGAGCTGGTGGTAAAATATTTTTAATGAAAAGCGTGTGCACACTGCTTGACTTTGTGCAATATTTTACTTGAGTTTAGAAAACATTCCTTTTCGCTGTCATTGTTGATAGCTCTGCACTTGACGGAGAGCTTTGTATGAAGTGTTACCATGCTTAATGCGCGTTGGCGCTCAACGCGTATTGAGCACCGCGTATTAATCCCTTTTATAGATTATATGTTTTCTCTTTCTCATTATGATAGGGATTCCAGCTGCACGTTGCACGCCAGAGCCCCTGTGATCTGGCTGGGAAATGGCTAACCATGTCTGTTGACAACGGCACGTGTGGAAACTACGCTGCCGCAGGCTGCGCAAGATTAACTTACTCATGACGATATGAGAAAGACAAACTTTTCTCACCGTTTTCAAGATTATGTTCTCCCCCTCCCCTATTCCCCTATGTTTCCACCGGTCGCGGCACACCTGCGGCTGACTCCCTGGACTCCTGAACGTGTTTGTGAACAATTTATTTTTCTTGAGTAGAAAACAGTCGCCTAAGTGCGCCCTACTAACTATGGTTTCTCTTACCGGTGCTTCCGGCTGCGTGAACTCGTTGCCTATCTAACGATTTTTTCCTCTGTTTCTCTTTATTGTGGTCCAATATACATTCACAAGACAGTTTAGTGTAAATATAGTACCAGGTGGCTGATTAACCGCGCTCACTTTTGTAGTTATGCTGTCCCTGCCTGTGCCTATCGCCCCTGTCCACGGTGCCTTACCGGCCTAGCGAGTAGGCAACCCGCCCGCACGAGTGCGTGCGGTTCAGCATAACTACAGAAGGTGAGCGGGGTTAATCAGCCACTCTGGCACGGTGAATATAGTACAGTAAATATAGTAGAAATATATATTATTAGCACTCCTGTTCAAAGAGTCGGTAGGTTGATGTCAGTGCTTCTAAAGATATCAGAAGGCTGGTCTAGTCCTAGTCTGGAACCAATGTCGGTAAATACATGTCACCTGTCATCTTAATGATGTCCGTGGTGTTTCTAATGTCATCACGAATTGAGACCATATGACTAACTTCAATATGAGATACCGATATCTGTAACTTGGTTTTGATATTCTGTCAATCTGAGCGGGGATGTATATTTTCCGTTTGTTGCGCAGTTTTCATTTAGGTTTTAACAAGACATTGTCAGTCCCTTTTTTTATTTCCAGGCCCATGTCTACGGAAAATTTTCCAAATTATGCCGCATTGGGATTTGAGGCCATATTGGGGCAAGTGCTTTGAACTTCTTATAACTGCAGTACATTCTTAGAGTTCGTACGTGTTTTGTTTTTTTCAATGGACTTAAATTACGCGCTCGGCTGTAAAATCAGCTAGGGTGATGTGTTAATTAAATGTCATAAGCTTTGATGGAAAAAAAATTCTGGATGGTAAGGGCAGGGAATATTGAATGGTACATTTTTTATAATTCGACGTTGCTATTGTAGTGCCTTTTGATTCGCATTGTGATTGCGGTAGTAATGACCCGTACATTGTTGTTACAACTTGCTCGTAAAGTGTGCGCCACGGCCGGTCCGGTCGGTCCGTCCCGCCGGCGACTCACACCGACATATAGAGCGGAACACACCTTTACCAGGGCTGCTCACGACGGGGCCGCCTGCACCTCGCCCCGCCCCGCTGAGCCAGGCTGCGCCACGCTGTGATGTGCACTGCCCCCGCCCCCCTTTTTCGTAATTCTTCATCCCCTGTTCTCGATAGTTTTTCCAGCGAATTCCTTTCCATGAATTTGTTTACTGTGTCATTGACGCCGTATACCATTGTGGGCTGGAGTTTCAAGGACAAGCAGAGATATTTAGCAATCTCGATGAAAGCACTTCCACTTAAAAAAAAACTGCGTAGTGACGCATGTCGATCACGACCTGCTGTAAAACTTCAGGTTATGTGAGCCCAAATATATCGCAAAATGTTAGCGAACCATACCATCATACTAGTTTATATGTCGTCGCGCATGTCCGTGGTAGATCGCCTGTCTGTATGTTTACGTTTTGGTTTTCGGAACTCCTGAACCTTTTCCGTGGCTGCCGCCCCCCCGCCCCCTTACCCCGCCCTGCCTTGTCGGTGTCGTTAGGTACCGCACGACCCGCCCGTTGCGTGCTCCGGTTGTTTTTAGAAGTCTCCGCGCCGCACTACTCAAGTGCATCAAATATTTCTCAAGGGAGAGAGGGACAGAAACATTTAACAATAAAACTTAACGAAAAAAAGGGCTTAGTGAGAGAGGGAGGGAGGGAG